TTGTAGTTGTCGGAAGTTTGAAATTGTTGGAATATTATGTAGTCATGCACTTAAAGTGTTGGACACAATGAATATTAAGCAAATTCTTGAAGACTACATTATAAAGAGATGGAGACGAGATGCAAGGAATATTCATACACCAGATTATAATGTATCAAATGTGGAGGATCCTAAGTTGATGGCAGCATCTCGTTATAAGCAACTATGTCCTAGAATGGTACAATTAGCAGCTCGTTGCTCTGAACTTGGACCTGCATATTAGTTGGTGACACGAGACATTCAAAATTTGTTTGAACAAGTGGAGAAAATGTTTGCATCACATACTGATGAAGGTAGTGCTTCATTCGAAAGCACATGTGTGGATAACGAAGGAATGGAGAATGTGGATAATGTAGGAATAGAGAATGTGGACCCTAATATTTTACGAGTGAAAAGTATAAAAAGGAAGGATGGTGGTTACAAAGGTTGGGGTCGACTCAAGCCATGGAATGAAAAGTTATCTAAGAGGAAGAAAGTAGTTACACAACATTCTAATATGTCCAAGGTATGACACATCGAATATTGAATAATTTTTTTTATTTTTACTTAACATACAATAATATTGATTTGAAGATTATTTGTCATTAAAGTACCTTCATCTTCACAACCAGTATGTCCACAACCATTACCTTCACAACCATTATCTACACAACCAGTATGTTCACAAGCATCAAATTCTCAAGTATGTTAGTTTATTCATACATTGATTTTAATGTTATATTCTCATTGATCCATTCTAATTTATGTAGAGTATGTCATTTGATGCAACATAAATGCATTTTTTCGGTGTGGAATCCTCCTTCACGAACGAGAGCTTCTATGATTTTTTCAAGGATATTTGAAGAACAAGAGGACAAAAGTTGTCGGTGCTGTTTTTTTGCTATTGCTTGATGCTGATGGTTTTGCAATGAAGTTGATGTTGCTGCTGCAGTGCTAGATGGTTGAAGTCCAGTTATGCTCGATCTTAACACTTTCTTTTTGATCATTTTGAAATGTGCATTTACAATATATTCTTTTTGCTATGGGGATGGTGAACCTTCTATTGTCTTGTTTTAGAAGATCAACCATCCCTTTGGAAACACCTGTATACATGAACCCATAATGTGAGTTGATGTTTATACATGTTGATGATTGAATTTAAATTGTTTAACTATATTGAATCCATAAACATTCAACATTCAATGAAAATCATCCAACAAATGCCTACAATACCATCATCCAACATACAAATATTACACCTATCATCCCTTCAATGCCACCATCATCTAACAGCCGTTACACTAACAATGAATAAATGCTAAGTTATACCACCATCATCCAACATAAGTAGCATTACATAAATGAATCACCACCTTTCTCATTACATAATCAACAAATTAACCATTTTTTAAAAAAAAAAAATAGAAGAATTTTATTGAATAAATCTCAAAAATTACAAGATTCAAAAAAAAGAAACTGTTTTAACAAAATAGTAACTGTTTTAACAGAAAAAACTGTTACAGAATTTTGCTACAAGAACCAGACAAAACAGCTAAAAAAACTCCTGTACAGCTGCCAAATTTTCTGATCCTAGCTCAGTCTCTGGCCCTTTGATTAGAACTCAGTATCTTCCAAACAGCTGTAGTACTCTTAATGTAGCAAAACTCAGTTATGTGTAGCTTTGACCATGCTCCATCATAATCTGGTTCCCCTCCAAACCATACGGCTTAATCAATTTCAATCCATCCAGCAGAGCCAAACACTCAACTCCAGTAGAGAAACTGTATTGCATGAAATTCAAAGATTACAAGAAGCAAAAATTGAGACTGTTTAAGCAAAACAGTCCCATATAAGATCCAAAACAAAAAACTGTACAAAATACAGAAAAATATCCTGTTATCCACAAACTCCTATACAGCTCCTGCTCTGAGTACTCCATTACAGCTTCAAACCAGCTCAGAAAAATTGTCTGATCAATGAGCTGTAACATCAGAGATATTGCAATAGAACAGAAGGAATCCAAGTTTCTAAATGCCTGGAATTCTGGAACTCCTACACAACTGCAAATGTCAAGAAATGCAGTAACACAACAATACTGCACAACATACCCCATACTACAGCTTAATATGAAACTTAAGTGAATTCTATACTAAAATTACAGACTACAATTTGAATCATATCAGAAATTGAGAATAGACTTTGAACTACCTCGAGCTTACTTCCATCAGGAAATGTTTGCCAATAGGGTATTAATTCAACAACATCAATGTTTCCATTTCTCTTTGCCACATCAATTTTTCTTTTCAGGAGCCAATGGTTCTATACCATTCCATTCCACCTCTCTTTCATCATCTCCATTTCTATACAATTCAATCAAAAATAAACAAACTTCAGAATGTATAATGCCAGAAATTGTCTGCCATCCATGCGCATTCACCATAAATTATTCAAAATTTAAAAATATGCAGACACACACACACACAGACACACAGAAAATAAGTTCGATTTGGCTGGAGAAAATGTCTGAAACAGCTAATAACTTGAGAACCCAGAAAAGAGAAACAATAATAAAACCAAGTCTGAAACGGCACTTTGATGGTGAAGTACCTAGTATTCGTCGGATTCTTCCTCTATTCGTCGGCATCGGTGAAGACGTAGGCGATGGAGTGTTAGAAATTTTTGAGTCTTCGACTTTGGCATCATTTTAGGGCTTGAATTTTTGGGTCTTCGTCTTCGGCTCGTCTTTCACAATTTTAGGGCTTGATTTGGGATTGAAAAAGACGGGATTTGGTGGTCTGATTGGTTTATAACAAAAAGGCACCAAACGGTGTCGTTCCTCCCTAACAGGATTGTTTTTTTAAAAAGGCACCAAATGGTGCCGTTTCTCCCAAACAGCAGCGCTTGCCATTTCTCCCGAACGGCAACGCTTCCTGTTCCTCCTGAATAGCAAACGAATCCCAGATTCGACAGCCCAATTTGGTTTTTTTGAAACCATAAATCAGAATTTTATTTTGAAACTGTTCAAAATATCTTTGGTTTTAAAGAGATTGAAATGAAATAGTATTGAGTCAATTATGAAAATAAAACCAAAAAATATGTTTGGTAATCATTTCAAATTACATTATAATTATTAGCTTTATAATATTTCCTACTACAAAATAGGAATCAAAATTCATAATTTTTTTTTTTTTGCTATTGAAAAAAAGGGGTAAAGAAAAGAGCCAAGCAACCACCCCGTTATTACATTGAGAATGAGTTATAATATTCTTTAAAACCTAGTACTATAATTCAATAATAATGATAAATTATTCATAAACTAAATCTAAATAATATTATTAGTTTCTCTGACTCGATTAGAAAAAAAGAAAGAAAGGGTAAATTATAATTGAGCTCCCTGACATTTGGTTTTATTACACAAACACCCACTCACATTTCAGATATTATATTGAAATCCCTTGACATTTGAAATGTTTAACAGGTAGACCCCCTCCACTTGAGAGACGTTAGAAAAAGTTATGAAAAATGCTGACATCAGCAAGGAATTTTCCTAATGCCCATAATACCCTCATTTGGTCAAAGTCATCCTTCATGCTGATTAAAATTTGTTAATTAGTTATTCAAATATATAAATTCTTAAACATCTTTGATAATTACTTACCATTGGAATTATAAGTTATAACTCACAAAAATTAATTATTAAATTGCATCATATTGACTAACATTTACTATTGAAATGAAGCAATTCACATATCAAAAAAATAAAACAAAATGAAGTTAATCACACCACCACTGTAATCCTTCTTCTTTATCTCCTCCGAACTAAAGCCCTCACTGTTGAAACAACCAAATCTCATCAAAGGAAACCCATGATGCCCAAATTCTAATGATTTGTTGACTAATCATTCAAAACCCTACATTGAAAGCCACTACTGACATTCACCGCTGCAACAGATCACCCCCATACACATAGTTTTGTCAAGAATGAACATGTACAAAACCACCCATTATTGATAGAGAAAGAAGATTTGAGGTAAAGATTGTAAACCCTAATGGGTGATTTTGGATGGTTGAGGTGGTGGTGTTGATAGGTCTTTCTCTCTGGTGGGATTCCAGTCAATGGATGTGTTGACGGTTGAGTCCATTGTTGCGATTGGGTCTTTGACAGTGGTGCTGATGATGGGTACTAGTGAAAGTAGGCAGGAAAGTGGGGTGTTGTGATTGCGTTGTTAGGTATTTGGGGTCTGTTATATCGCTGAAGAAAGAGAAAGGGGGGCTAGGTGGGGGGTGTTGTGGTTGCGTCGCTGGGTATTTGGGGGGTGTTGTGACAGATTGTAAGAATACAAAATTCTAATTATTGAGACAAACAATTTTAATTCCAACCTAGTTCAAATAACTATTAACTAGGCTCATCTGGGTCGCTGAAACAATCAGAATCACACACAGCCACACACACACACACTCAAAACATATATAATTTCACTCTTTTTTCTAAAAAAGTTAACGCCCAAACAGAAACACCCAAAAAAAAAAAAAAAGATGTACAGAGAGAACACTTACAGATACAGAGAGAGAAAGGGGGGTAGCGATAGGGGAAGTAAAAAATCGACGAATTAATTGAGGTTGGATTAACTAAAAACTGATCATTTTCAGCGGACCTGCCATGCCAATTTAAAAAAAAAAACAAACAAGAAAATTGTGAGATAATAGAAGCAGATTGAAGGGACAGCGAGAGAGGCACAAGAAACCTTTGCTTGTGATTAGGATCCGAATGACTGAGCAGAGGTGAGGCCGATTCACAGTGTCGTTGTGCAGAAATGGAAGGACGGTAGCAACTGGCGAGTGCTCTTGCCCTCAACAGATCTGGCTAGGGATGAAGCCTCAAGCTATTTTGGCGAGAAGACTAGCTAGTGGATTGGAGCACCGACTTTGGGGGTTTTGCTCGCCAAAATAGCCAAAGGCTGAACTGGCGAGCAACCTTGGAGATGCTCTTAGACTGCTCACCTCTCACTCCTCTGCCATGGCTCAACCAACGTTCTCAGCGGCAGCACAGCGGCGATCAGCGACAGCTCAGCCCAGGTACCTCCCTCTCCCCTCTCTCTTTCTCTCTCTCTCCAATCGCTCTCTCTGTCTCACTCCCAAGGAAGAATTAGCAAACGATTTTTGGGTTTGTGGGTTTCGAACCTTGAGGTTAGAATTTCGATGTGGGTTTGTGGAATTTCGATGTGGATTTCTGGGCTTGTGGAATTAGCTGCCTAAAGTTTTGGGTTTTGTTGAAGCAGCAGTGGCAGCGGCTGAAAATGTTTGATTCGGTCATACAATGTTTTCATTGTTTCATTGTTGGGTTTGTGGAATTTCTGGAATTTCATTGTTGGGTTTGTGGATGATTCGGTCATAAAATGTTTTCATTGTTTCATTCGGTCATAGCAAATGGATTTGTGGGTTTGTGGATGGTTTCATTGTTTGATTCAAGCATTTCATGGCTGGACCACATCCACACTTCTCTCAAAGGCTGGACCACATCCACACACACACACGCCACTGACACACCCACCCCCACAACCACACACGCACGCCACTAACACACCCACCCCCCACAATCCACTATCTATTCTCTCTCCTCTCTCACTCACGTCCAACAACGCCTCCTCAGCTCCTCTTTCTTTCTCATCCCAACGCCATAACAAACGTCACCACCAGCGCCACCGCGAGCACCAGCACAACTGACAGGTATATTTTTTATATTTTCGTTGTGTGGTTTGATATTTTTGTTTTGTGTTTTGATTCAAAGCATGATCCTAATGTCACTCTAGAATGGAATATAATGTGTTTGTGTGTGTTTTTTTGCGGGGTGGGGAAGGGTAGGCTGCCCCAATTGTAAAGTAGTAGAAACTTAGGAAAAAATTGGTTTATAGTGTCTTGATTTGATGAATGTTAGGGTTATTTAGATTAAGATTGTGTGTTAATTTATTTTACTTCCATAGAGATTGTGTATCAGTTAGTATGGAATAGGTTTTTATAAGTTCTTGATTTGATGAATGTAAAGGTTATTTAGAATAAGATTACGTGTTTATTCAATAAGATATGTAGGGTTTTTGGATGTTAATGTTTTTGTTAATTGAATGGAATGAATGTTGAGTTGATGATTATTGAGTGTTCATAAAATGAACTTTGTAGGCTAATTTATTTTCAAATTCGGTTGTGTTTCAAATTAAGTTTATAGGGGTCTTGATTTGATGTATGTTAGGGTTATTTAAATTAGTACTATGTTTCAAATTGGGATTTTGAAACAGGATTAGAGTGTTTTTGAATGTCATAATTTTAAGAGTAGGATTTTCAAATTGGGATTGTAGAGTTATTATTGATTAAATGAATGTCATAGTTTTTAAATTGGATGTTAGGGCTTATTATTGTATGAAATGGGATGTTGATTGTATGAAATGGGTTGTTGATTGTATGAAAATGGATGTTGATTGTATGAAATGGGGTTTTAAATTGTATGAAATTTGTTTGTTAATTAAATCAAATTGGACGTTAATATTATAAAATAAGGTTTTGGACTTGGAAGTTTGGTTTGCGATTGAATGTTAAGGTCTTAAAATTGAATGTTATGGTCATTTTGATTGAAATGAGTGTTATTTTCATGGAATGACTGTGTAGCCACCACTACCAACCATCGCCATATACAACTTGGTTGTTTATTTTACTATTGGTTTCCCATTTTTGTGTTTGGGGGAGGTTATATTTTGAAGAATCTTTATTTTTGGCTATCTATTTGTTATTACAGCTAATTAGGAAACTTAAAAGATTGACTAAGAGAGTGTGTGGATGATTTGGTGAAAGATCTTGCAGGTATGACCTATTATTAGTGTTGATTGTTCTCCACATTGCTTCTGTCAAATGAATTCATTTGAAAAGACAAGCCTGCAGTTATTACATCCTATTTGGGTTTTAATATTTTGTTGGACATTTATTTGCCACTGAAATTGCAGGATGGCATTGGGTCTGGGCCTTTGAAAGTTGGGCAACTCCTGGAGTTGCGGTTAGTGTTTTGAGCTTGAGGACGCAGGGAAATAATATGGTAGATGGTGATTGAGTTTGTTTTTCATTATGTTGGTTCCTATAATTATTTTCCCTTTTTAATATGGTAGCTCATATTTATGATTTTATTGTTGTCTTAGTTGATAGTTATATTGTGTGTTATGTAGTGAGTTCAGTAATTGGTTTGAGCTATATTTTTACTAACATATAATTTTTTTTTGTTATACAGTGCCTTCAGACATGAGTTTGTTGCTATTGAATATTTTTTTTTTTTGGAATTATGTTGATTCCAATTGACGAGAAAAGCAAGGGGACATAAGTTTCGAATTTTCAGTTTAGTTTTACCTCACATTTTCGGGCATACATGTAAGCATGCTTGGGATTATTTTTTTGTGACTTCACATTTAGAAGACATTGATCCCAATCAGACAATATTGTGGTGGTGGTTGTTAGCAATCTTATTGATTTGTGTTTTTTGGTTATCTTTCTTTGCTAAAGAAGATGAAGTTGCAGATAATTATTTCTCTCTTTGTACATGTGTATTTTGTGTGTGTCCAGTTTACGTGTGATTTGTTTGTATGTGGAAATGTTGTTTGATAAGAATTGATGGTTGGATTTGGAATGGTGATTTTGGGGAAAATAGAGTTGCATTGTGATGATTGTTATGTATGATTATGATGGTTGTAAGTTTTGTTTGAATTATGATGTTATATTTGACTTAGGTTGGGTAATTTTTTCTTGAGATTGATTATGCAATGGTTTGTGTTCGATAATGATATATACAATGAGATATATAAACTTTGTAGACTGGCTGAAATTTCCTTAAGTTTTTATCTATAGAGAAAATTTTGCCCATTTTTTGTGAAAAAATAGCGAAGGCTTGATTGATTTTAATTTTTTTAATTAAAGTAAATGAAGGAAAATTGATTTCAAACTGATGGATTTTTTAGTTAGCAAAGTGTCTTTAGACACAAATTAATTTAATTTTTTGTTATCCCATGCCTTCAGGCATGGGTAATTACTAGTACAATTATATCTTAAAGTTTTAATCGAATTTTACTTTAGTTCTTCTTTTCACATCTATTAATTTGTTAAATTACTCATAAAAATATATTTATTTAATAAAAAATATTTTTCAAAAAATACATTAATATTTTTTTATCTCATAATATCTCTCAAACTATTATTCTATATCTTTTTTTTTCTCAAAATTATGTTGATCACAGGAAGATCATACAGTCACAATACATTGGTGAATTTTAATGTAAAGGCTAAATTAAAATTTAATTAAAATTCTAAGGACTAAATTATTGTAATTGGAATTTCAAAGGACTAAATAAAATTTAAGTTCGAGGTTGAACTTTGGGTTCGTCTCTGCTCTTTCTCGCTCTCTTCTGATTGCCTCAGATCAGTATCTCTTCGTTCATCGTGACAGATCCGACTCGTCTCCTCTCTTGTAAGAACTTTCTCACTCTACATCTCAACTTTTAGATGCTGTTGCTTTGAATTCAAGTTTGTAGCGTTGAATTTTGCAGGTATCTTAAACAGGGGTTTTGAATCAGAATTTGATTATAAACAGCATGGTGGTAAGCCTTTGATTTTGGTAATTGGACACGTGTTTTGCTTTGGTTCTGAATCACCTGGTTAGATTTGTACTTTGATTTTTATACGATTCTGAGTTTTTTTTTTTTCTAGAATTTCATAATTGGAGCTTTCAAGCCAGCTTGCAACATATTAATCACGTTTTCTGATGGTAAAGCTCGCAAGCAGGTTTTCATTGTTGTTGGTAGGGTTCAGTAATTCCACTCTTGTAGTGATCGTACTATACATGTGTTAATTGCCGAGGGCGGTGAGAAAATTGAGAGTGTTGTAGCCAGTGGAATTAATGAAGGGAACTTATTAATGAATTGTTACGGGCATGGTAGTTTACCAAGTGCACACAACGTGTGATGTGGCCTATGGCTTGCCGTGTTTGTTGGTAATTGGTTTAGTGTGGGATATGATGGAATGGGTCATGGGTAGATAGATATTTAGCTGGTTGTTCCTTTTAATTAGGTCACTAGTTGCTGATAAATAGCTTTGTGGTAGGTATGGTTTCCTATTAGTTTGCATTGTTGTTTCTTTCATTCCAAGATGTGAAAGGCTATAAAATATAGCCATTTCCATTTAGTTGATAATATTCAGCTGACTTAAAGACCAACTCTACTCTACTTCTTTTATATCCCTTGTTTCCTAAAATCTACACACAAAATTGGTATTAGAGCACTTACCAATGGACACCAGGGGAAAAACAAATGCGGAATTCCGCAACGACGTCAATGAGATCTTGTCTCGCCACGAGTCCAGTTTCGACCAGGTTAATGCTGCTCTACAAGTCGTCTTAACTGAGCTACAAGCTTTGCGAGTTTCACTTAGTCCTCTCCACCACCAATCAAAAATTAACCCATTCGGTTCCGGAGAGTCATCCAATCCCAACCATGAAAATCATCCTCAACGGTCAACACCTCAATCTACCCATGCCCAGATTTAATGGGGAAGACCCACGGGCTGGTTATACAAGGCTGACCAATACTTTGATTTTAACAACGTTGCCCAAGACCAAAGAGTTCAGCTAGCCTCTTTCCATCTCGAAGGTCTCGCCTTGCAATGGCATTGATGGCTCTCTAAGTTTCGCGGACCAGTAACGTGGAATGAATTCTCTAAAGCCGTATTACTCCGATTTGGTCCAACGGACTATGAAGACCCTTCAGAAGCTGTTACTCGACTGCGTCAGACAACAGCATTCGCTGCCTATCAGGATTCCTTTGAACGCTTATCGTATTAGGTGGATGGCATTCCTGAAAGCTTCCTTATTGGTTGCTTCATTGCTGAGTTATATGACGAAATACGCTTGGATGTTAAAATCAAACACCCCACCACAATAGCTGACACGATAGGCGTTGCAAGGTTGGTCAAGGAACGGAACCTCTTGCAAAAGAAGTCGAACCCACCTTTTCGCAACACATCTACTACACCGACATTGCTACTGGCGTGCTTAGACCTCCTCCCAACGTACGAACTATAACCAATATCTCAGTTTCGCCGCATCACAACTCAGGAGGCCATGGAACGACGTGAAAAAGGGTCTCTGTTATTTTTGTGACGACAAATTCACTCTGGGCCATCGTTGTGAATGACCACAATTATTCATGATTGAGGACACTCTGGCCTCAAGCACAGACGACGATAATGACGTCACAATGGAAGTTGAAAATAATGAACCCATGCCGGAAATATCCTTCCATGCCATAGCTGGCACCACCCATCCACAAATGCTTCGTGTCAGAGGCAAGATGAAACAAAAAGATGTGACTGTGTTGATCGAAGGGGGCAGCACCCATAATTTTATCGGTCAAGCCTTTAATGCTATCCATAAGATGCTCAAGGAAACACAAATTCGAAGATGTGAAAGATAATGAAATTGATTTTCCATCAAGACAAAGATCCATATGGAACCTTGCATTCTTATTTTAAGTTAATTTGCTAGTATTAATATTTTATGTCCTTTTAATATTTTTAGTGTCAGGGGTATTTTTGTAATTTTTTTAAATTTCTGGAATAGGTTATATTTTTGGGTCAAATTCTAGTATTGAATATTCTAGAATTTAAAGTCCTAGTTCTAGTTAATTTTAGTTTTCTAATTTGTAGGGACTTAGTATTTTTAAAGTTCTATAGACTTTGGAATCCTAATCTTTTGGGATTAAGATTACTTAGAACTCTATATATAGTTAGTGTTACTTTTCATAATAGATGAAGAGAGATATTCAGAATTTTGAGCAATTACATGTTTCTTGAGTTGTGTGATGCAATTCTAATCTTGAGTGTGATGCTTACGGAACCCTATAAGTGATTCCTAACCAAAATTACTGTTCACGCTACTGTTCACAGCCCTATTACTGTTCACGAGTATTGTTCAAGTCACTGAACAACCCTCAAACAGTCCCTATTTTTTTATTTTACAAAGTTGTCCTACATCACCCTTGTAATTAAATATGGCTTACCAGAGGTTCGTGATAGAAAGTTTTAGGTGATGGTTGCAAACGGGACAAGATCGATTGCGCTGGGCATTGTCAAGCTCTCACTATTACTATTCAAGGCTATCGAATTATGACTGATTACTTTGTACTCCCAATTGCCGCTTGCTAGGTAGTCTCGGGAGTGCAATGGTTGGCAACCCTTGGACCCATTGAGACAGACTATGCTCAGCTTACCATGAGCTTTCGAAAGGAAGGAATCACACATACGTTCCATGGCTTGCAACAACATGAACCCTAAATCCTATCCGCTAAAGAATTACATAACTTGTAGAATTTTGGATTCCTCTTTCAAATCATTCCTACGGGCACAAACTCTCAACCCAATGACTATCCACCCGACTTGGGCCTACTCTTGGATTCTTTTTCTCATGTCTTCAAAACTTTTACGAGTCAACCTTTTCATTGCACACATGATCAATGCATTCCTCTGTAACCTAATGTTGCACCAGTTTCTGTTCGACCGTACTGCTATCCCTATTGTCAGAAAAACGAAATTGAGCAAATGGTTCAAGAGCTATTTCAGGCCGGATTCATACGTCCTAGTATGAGTCCTTTCTCGTCTCCAGTTTTCTTGGTCAAAGCAGATGGGGAATGGAGGTTTTGTGTGGATTACAGAAGCTTAAACACCATCACAATCAAAGATAAGTATCCTATACCTGTCATAGATGAATTATTGGATGAACTTCATGGAGCCAAGTTCTTTTCAAAACTCGATCTTCGGGCAGGATACCATCAGATTTGTGTCCATGTTGAGGACATCTCAAAAACTAGTTTTTGCACTCATGAGGGCCACTATGAATTCGTTGTTATGCCCTTTGGCCTCACGAATGCCCCAACATTCCAAAGTTTGATGAATGATCTTTTTCGTCCCAACCTCAAGAAATTTGTTTTGGTGTTTTTCGACGACATATTAGTTTATTCCAAGTCCTGGGATGAGCATATGTCTCACTTAAGGGTGGTACTGAAAATCTTATCTTCTAACAAACTGTTTGCCAAGGAGACAAAGTGTAGGTTTGGTGTTGCCACAGTAGATTACTTGGGTCATATCATCTCTGAACAAGGAGTAGTGGTGGATTCGATGAAAATCCAGGCTGTCCTTGATTGGCCAATACCCAAAACAGTCAAGGGTGTACGAGGATTTCTTGGTCTAATGGGACTTAACCATTTCTTGAAAAAAGATGGTTTCTACTGGAAGCAGATACAACTTTCCAACGGTTGACAGAGACTCTATCGCATGCGAGTTTCAAAACAAGGAATGAGGCATGCAAATACAGCTTTCAAAACTATCCCTTCTATATCATGTTGACAGAGACTCCATCGCATGCGGGTTTGTTACATCGAGATGGCGTATGGTTCAAATTTGGGAAGATCTATTTGAGTCCAACTTCTCCACTAATTCCTAAAGTACTCAGTCAATGTCATTTGACACCATTAGGGGGACATTTTGGGTTCCATAAGACTCTTTCTCACGTGAAGAGTAGTTTTGTTTGACTTCAAATGCAACGACCCATTAAGAAATTTTTGCAACAGTGTGAAATTTGTCAAAATTCAAATCTGATTGCATGAAGCCCGTAGGCTTACTACAACCCCTTCTAATCCTTGAACGTATTTGGACAGATGTGTCTATGGACTTCATCGAAGGGTTTCCATCTTCTCATGGATATTCAAACATTCTGGTAGTTGTTGACCGTCTCACAAAATATGCCTATTTTGTTGCTTTGAAGCATCCATTCATTGCCGCCTTGGTTGCACGAGAGTTCGTATCGAATATTGTTCGTTTACATGGCATCCCTAAATCTATCGTTGGTGACTGTGATAAGGTTTTCATCAGCTTTTTTTGGCGTGCTCTCTTCCAGCTATAGGGAACTAATCTGTGCACGAGCTCCAGCTATCACCCATAAACCAACGGTTAAACGGAGGTAACAAATCGCAGTTTGGAGCAGTATCTAAGGTGTTTTGCAGGGCACCAACTGCGCAAATGGTTTGAATGGATTCCTTGGGCCGAGTGCAGTTACAATACCTCAACTCATTCGTCCACTAAGATGATTCCATTTGAGGCTGTATATGGAATTCCACCGTCCAGTTTATTGTCTTACGTTCCTGGAGCTTCTCAAGTCCAGGTGGTGGATGATTTTTTATGAACCCGAGATGAAATATTGAATGGGTTGCAGTTCAACCTCTTACGAGCTTTCGAACGTATGAAGTGCCACGCCAATCAGCACCGACGAGAAGTTTCGTTTGAGGTAGGTGATTATGTGTATTTGAAGTTCCAACCCTATCGCCAGAAGTCAGTGGCCTTTTGAAGTTCGTTAAAGCTCTCTTTGAGGTTCTATGGTCCTTACAAAATTATTGAATGAGTGGGTTCTGTTGCTTATCGTTTGGCTTTTCCTCTAGGTTCCAAGGTTCGAAGTATCGGCCGAGTCGTCCGACTCGGCCATCACCGATCCGATATCGCTACACGGTACGTGAATAACACGAGACTCAAACGAATCGGCGTTGACTTGGTCACGATTCGGAGATATCGGTTGAAATCGGAGTCGAATCGTTTGAATCAGACTGAGTCGGACCGAGTCATCAACACAACAAATCAGTGTAAAAAACCAGAAAAAGAGAAAGGGAGGAGAAGAAGACCATTTTCATATGCAGATTCACAAACCCAAAGATGCAGAAACTAAAGTAAAAGAAATCAACAAACCCTAAAACAGAAATTGAAAGGATTTGCAAAAAACCTCTAGATCTTGTACATCCAGCGAATTGCGAACCAGCTCCACTAATAGTTGTTTTGAGTTAAAGCTTGTATGGCGGCTCATGAGAACTACTCCAGCGAACTTGCCAGTTCTGAGTTGGAGTTGCTCCGTTCCAGCCCACCAAAGTCTCCCTCTGTCAGTCTCTCTCTCTCTCTCGTTCTCTCGTTTTGTGCCTCTCTTTGTCTTTATCTTTCTCTGGTTTAGTTCCTCGTCGCCTGAGTAAGAGTGACTGAGTGAGAGGTGAGAATTTATTCTTATTTTATTTTATAATTTTTTTCTTTTTTTTTTTGGTTTAGTCAGAAGAGTTATATTATGTTAATTACACTTACAACCCCTCTTTTTTCTTTTTTTTTGTCAAACGACAAAAGGACTCAAAAGATATTTTTTTTTGTCCCCAATGGTCCCAAATGCTTGTTCAAATTGAGAACAAAATATTGCACACGTCCCAAATGTTTTTACATGTGTTTTCATTGCACATTGTACATAAATGATGACAAATGCTTTTTGGTAGCGTCCTTATTATTTTTTTTTGTAATGATTAATGTGTTAAATAATGTATTTTGGGTATATGATACATGAATGATAATATTTACATTTATTACAATTTTTCTTGATTTTTTCAAAAAATTTTGAGCCTTTTACATAGCATTTTGAGCATATCGGCCGATATGGTGTCGCGACGCTACGACCGATGTGTCTCAGTGGCCTCTAAGTCGAGGTCTGATACCGCGACTTTGAACTATGTTGGGAATTCATTACATTTTTCATGTTAGTATGCTACACAAACATTTGGGACCTGTTGCGATGGCATCTCCTCAACTTCCGCCTATTATAGACGCTGCCACCATTATTCCACAGCCTGAAGCCGTTCTGGATCGTCGTGTGGTTCATAAGGGAAAGTGTCGTCCAAAAACAGAGGTTCTAGTTAAGTTAAGTGGAGGGATGCTCCGATAGAAGATGCCACTTGAGAAAATGCTTGGCGTCTTCAGAAGAAATACCCTTCTTTCATACTTGAGGACAAGGATGTTTAGGGGGGGGTTATTGTTACGGGCATGGTAGTTTACCAAGTGCACACAACGTGTGATGTGGCCTATGGCTTGCTGTGTTTGTTGGTAATTGGGTTAGTGTGAGATATGATGGAATGGGTCATGGGTAGATTGATATTAGCTGGTTGTTCCTTTTAATTAGGTCTCTAGTTGCTGATAAATAGCTTTGTGGTAGTTATGGTTTCCTATTAGTTTGCATTGTTGTTTCTTTCATTCCAAGTTGTGTAAGGCTATAAGATATAGCCATTTCCATTCAGTTAATAATATTCAGCAGACTTAAAGACCAACTCTACTCTACTTCTTTTCTATCCCTTGTTTCCTAAATTCTACACACAACATGAATCTTCTCTACGACTCTGATTTTTTGAGCTTTCTTGTTCATGTTCAATGCTGTTGTCAATATCTCTTCTTAATGAGATATTAGCCTTTTAAAAATTAGTTTTTTACTGGGTTGCAACTATACATAACGAGGATATAGGTTTGATGGACCAATTGAAACAAAGCAGTTGCACTGTACTTTGATGTTGCTGTAAAGGACATAATTACTATGGGTTTCTCTTTTTTCCTATTTTAAACATTCCTTTTTTTGGTCTATGAGCTGCTATATTCATATGTTTGTGTTTGTGACTCATTGATGGCATTCGATTTCCCACCAGTCAACTACCTTGAGTTCAATATGATTGACATGTTATGCTTGGTTATGCTATCATAATAATAGTTCTTTTATGCATACATTTCCGTAGGTTCCACTGAAGAAGGAAAATGGCCAAACAGTGATGGTCTCTC